TTTGAAATATAAAATAAACAATTGGCTGGGAAAATTTCTTTAGATTCATAGATTTAATATTTTTGTTTTGTTTTATTATTAATAAGCTTAGATAGACAGCAGTGTGGTGCTGTCACCATGTTATAAAAGAGGGATTATGGAGTATAAATTTTATTTATATGATTATCTAATATTCCCCATCTCTCTGCATGCTTATTCATTCAGGCTACGTGAATGAATTCACGCAGTGACCAATACAAGATGTGAATCTAATTTGCTAGCACATGTAGGTAGTTCACGAGAAAATCTTCCCAAATTCGTGAGTAGATGAAATGAAACGAACAATGTAGACATTGTAGAGCCAACTCATAATTGTTATGCGTTTATCTATTTACACAACTCACCCGAACACACACACACAGAAAACATGGTTGGCACAGAAAAACCCATGGTTCAACCAGGAATGCAAGGTAGCGAAGGAAATGAGTAAAAGAACATGGAGAAACTACAGAAATAACAGAACACCAGAGAGCAGGGAGAGATACTAGAGGGCCAGAAATGAGTACCTCAGAGTGAGGAGGGAAGCAGAGAGACAGTTTGAAAATGACATCGCGAGTAAAGCCAAGATCCAACCAAAGCTGCTCCACAGCCACATCAGGAGGAAAACAGCAGTGAAGGAACAAGTGATGAAACTGAGAAAAGGGGAGAACAGATACACAGAGAATGACAAGGAGGTGTGTGAAGAACTCAACAAGAGATTCCAGGAGGTCTTCACAAAAGAACAAGGAGAAGCCCCTGCACTAAATGACGAGGAGGCAAACCAAGCAACCTTGGAGGAATTTAACCTCACCAGTGATGAGGTCAAAAGGTGTCTGCTGGAGCTGGATGTGACGAAGGCTGTTGGGCCTGATAGAATCTCACCATGGATACTAAAGGAAGGTACAGAAGCACTAAGTGTGCCACTCTCTATGGTGTATAACAGGTCACTGGAAACAGGAGACTTACCAGAAAGTTGGAAGACAGCTAACGTAGCCTCAATATACAAGAAGGGTGACAGGCAAAAGGCACTGAACTACAGGCCAGTTTCCCTAACTTGCATACCATGCAAGGTGATGGAGAAGATCGTGAGGAAAAGGCTCGTAGAACATCTGGAGGGAAATAACTTTGTAACACACCACCAACATGGGTTCAGGAATGGTAAATCGTGCCTCATAGGTTTAATAGAATTCTATGACCAAGCAACAAAAATTAGGCAGGAAAGAGAAGGGTGGGCCGATTGCCCTGGACAGCCAAAAAGCCTTTGACACAGTACCCCATAAAAGGCTGTTAAAAAAGTTGGAGCATCAGACAAGAGTAAAAGGGAAGGTGCTCCAGTGGATAAGGGAGTACTTATGCAACAGGAAACAGCGAGTAACGGTGAGGGGGGAGACATCAGAGTGGCGAGATGTCACCAGCGGAGTCCCACAGGGCTCAGTACTTGGACCCATCCTGTTTCTAATATATGTAAACGATCTTCCGGAGGGTATAGACTCGTTCCTCTCAATGGACTACAGGATGACCTGGACAAACTGGAGGAATGGTCTAGAAAATGGCTGCTAAAGTTCATCTCAGGAAAGTGTAAGGTATTGAAATTAGGCGAAGGGAGCAGGAGGCGGAACACAAGGTATCATCTGGGAGGTGAAATCCTGCGAGAGTCAAATAGAGAGAAAGATCTGGGGGTTGATATTATACCGAACCTGTCCCCAGAGGCCCACATCAAAAGAATATCATCAGCGGCATATGCTAGACTGGCCAACATAAGAACTGCCTTTAGAAACTTGTGTAAGGAATCGTTCAGGGCCCTGTATACCACTTATGTAAGACCAATCCTGGAGTATGCAGCTCCAGCCTGGAGTCCATACCTAATTAAACACAAGACGAAGTTAGAGAAGATTCAGAGGTATGCCACCAGACTGGTCCCGGAACTGAGAGGAATGAGTTACGAGGAAAGGCTAAAGGAGCTGAACCTCACATCCCTGGAAAACAGAAGAGTAAGGGGAGACATAATAACCACCTACAAAATTCTCAGAGGAATTGACAGGGTGGACAAAGACAAACTCTTCAGCACGGGTGGGACACGAAGAAGGGGACACAGGTGGAAACTTAGTACCCAGATGAGCCACAGAGACGTTAGAAAGAATTTTTTCAGTGTCAGAGTAGTTAACATATGGAATGCATTAAGTAGTGTTGTGGTGGAAGCTGACTCCATACAGAGTTTCAAATGTAGATATGATACAGCCCACTAGGCTCAGGAACCTGTAAACCAGTTGATTGACAGTTGAGAGGCGGGACCAAATAGCCAAAGCTCAACCCCCGCAAGCACAATTAGGTGAATTAGGTGAGTACACACACACATACACACAACTAGGCGAATACACACACACACACACACACACACACACACACAAAGCATTCCTTCAAAGCATCTCCGAATTTTCGCAGCACAGATCCAATACATAGAAGAGGTAATTAAAAAGCTTATTTCTGAGTCCTGACACAGCGGGCGCTGTCGTAAACTGGGGCTCGGACAGCCTAGTGTCGAGAAACGGTCGCTGGGAATTTCGTGCGCTACTCTCGTATTTTTTTTTTTGTATACTTGGGTTGCTGTCGCCGTTCGCTGCTAGCTCTACTCATCTACTTGTGTGTAGAGGGTTGAACAACAGCTCGTAGCCCCTTTGTGTTCCATCTGTTGTTCTGTTAATACAATGACTGTTATTTGCCTGCTAATTATACGACGGAGATCTTCCTGACTTCTCTAGGTTCATCTGTGTCTCCAGCTTCCACCTGTGTCCTCTGGTACCCCCTCATCTGTGTCTCCAGCTTCCACCTGTGTCCTCTGGTACCCCCTCATCTGTGTCTCCAGCTTCCACCTGTGTCCTCTGGTACCCCCTCATCTGTGTCTCCAGCTTCCACCTGTGTCCTCTGGTACCCCCTCATCTGTGTCTCCAGCTTCCACCTGTGTCATCTGATACTGCCTCATCTGTGTCTCCAGCTTCCACCTGTGTCCTCTGGTACCCCCTCATCTGTGTCTCCAGCTTCCACCTGTGTCCTCTGGTACCCCCTCATCTGTGTCTCCAGCTTCCACCTGTGTCCTCTGGTACCCCCTCATCTGTGTCTCCAGCTTCCACCTGTGTCATCTGATACTGCCTCATCTGTGTCTCCAGCTTCCACCTGTGTCCTCTGGTACCCCCTCATCTGTGTCTCCAGCTTCCACCTGTGTCCTCTGGTACCCCCTCATCTGTGTCTCCAGCTTCCACCTGTGTCCTCTGGTACCCCCTCATCTGTGTCTCCAGCTTCCACCTGTGTCCTCTGGTACCCCCTCATCTGTGTCTCCAGCTTCCACCTGTGTCCTCTGGTACCCCCTCATCTGTGTCTCCAGCTTCCACCTGTGTCCTCTGGTACCCCCTCATCTGTGTCTCCAGCTTCCACCTGTGTCCTCTGGTACCCCCTCATCTGTGTCTCCAGCTTCCACCTGTGTCCTCTGGTACCCCCTCATCTGTGTCTCCAGCTTCCATCCTCCTGGAGGTCCAGGGACTATTGTACCTTGAGGGACAGTTTGATATCGAGGGACGTTAGGACCTCAGTGCACCGCTGGACTTCATTGGACCGCTGGACCTCAAGGTACCGCTGGACCTCAAGGTACCGCTGGACCTCAAGGTACCGCTTGGACCTCAAGGTACCGTTTGGACCTCAAAGCACCGACACTTTTCCCGCCACATATTTTTTCCCGCCTCAAAACTTCCCGCCGTTTTCTAAAGTGTGTTTATTGGGGGGGACTTAAGTAAATACACAAACAAGTAAGGTGAACAGGGGGGCGCAAAGGTAGCCAGGGAATGGGTGGTGTCATGGGTCTATTATTTTTGTGGTTTTTGGTGGATTGTGCGTGATACCTCACTGTTGTGGCTGGCATTTTCATCTGGTTTACGGAGTACCTGAAGTTGTTGGGGGGCTGGTTTACAGCCTATTGGTTTGTACTTCCTTCCAGCTAGTTCTGAACTGCTGTGATAAGGAAAGATCACCTGAGTTTCTATCCCGTATCCGTAAATTTCCTGTAATCAGTTCCAAAATTTCGTCAAAAACCTCCCCCGCCCCGTCGAAGCCTAGTCGAATCTTAATCTGCATTTATTGAACAGTAACTTCAAAACTATTGCTTCAGGAGTACTATACAGCCTTTAGAGATTAGCCCCTGAAACTTGCAATACTGCCTCACCGCCAATCATAGACTGTCATACCAGCAATAAACTACCCATTTCATGGAGTGACTCAGGAGCACTAGTGAGTGTGTGACTGCTCCTTACCGAGGTTGGATGTCAAGTGAGCTCTCAGGCATCGACTAGGCTTGAGGGTTCACTCTGCATCACCGCGCTTATTGGTTGATTTTTGTTTAGCCTGTCAACCAATCACAGCTCGTCTCAGTGTCACCTCAAAACATTGGCTCGATCACCTGACTGGATGCAATGACGGAAACAAAACTGTCTGTCCCACTCACTCATATCTTTCCTACACGGTTGTGACGGTAGAGCGACGGTCACCGTCGCTCTACATATATATATATATATATATATATATATATATATATATATATATATATATATATATATATATATATATATATATATATATATATATATATATATATATATATCAAACAGGCAAATGTCTGCTTGATATTATATAGATACGCACTCACACGCACTCACACACACTCACGTGCACTCACACGCACTCACGTGCACTCACACGCACTCACATGCACTCACACGCACTCACATGCACTCACACGCACTCACGCACTCAAATGCACTCACACGCACTCACATGCACTCACACGCACTCACACGCACTCACGCGCACTCACGCGCACTCACATGCACTCACGCGCACTCACACGATGATCCAGGAGCTTATTCACCTGGACAAGTGCCCATATCTCTCTTAGCTAAACACTAACATGACTCACACGTACTCACACACCTGGCAAGTACACACCTGACGAGTCCACACCTGGCAAGTACACACCTGACAAGTCCACACCTGGCAAGTCCACACCTGGCAAGTACACACCTGGCAAGTACACACCTGACAAGTCCACACCTGGCAAGTACACACCTGGCAAGTACACACCTGACAAGTCCACACCTGGCAAGTACACACCTGACAAGTCCACACCTGGCAATTACACACCTGGCAAGTACACACCTGACAAGTCCACACCTGGCAAGTACACACCTGACAAGTCCACACCTGGCAAGTACACACCTGACAAGTCCACACCTGACAAGTCCACACCTGGCAAGTACACACCTGACAAGTCCACACCTGGCAAGTACACACCTGACAAGTCCACACCTGGCAAGTACACACCTGACAAGTACACACCTGACAAGTACACACCTGACAAGTCCACACCTGGCAAGTACACACCTGACAAGTCCACACCTGACAAGTCCACACCTGGCAAGTACACACCTGACAAGTCCACACCTGACAAGTCCACACCTGGCAAGTACACACCTGACAAGTCCACACCTGGCAAGTCCACACCTGGCAAGTACACACCTGACAAGTCCACACCTGACAAGTACACACCTGGCAAGTACACACCTGACAAGTCCACACCTGGCAATTACACACCTGGCAAGTACACACCTGACAAGTCCACACCTGACAAGTACACACCTGACAAGTCCACACCTGGCAAGTACACACCTGACAAGTCCACACCTGACAAGTCCACACCTGGCAAGTACACACCTGACAAGTCCACACCTGGCAAGTCCACACCTGACAAGTCCACACCTGGCAAGTACACACCTGACAAGTCCACACCTGGCAAGTACACACCTGGCAAGTACACACCTGACAAGTACACACCTGGCAAGTCCACACCTGGCAAGTACACACCTGACAAGTCCACACCTGGCAAGTACACACCTGACAAGTACACACCTGACAAGTCCACACCTGGCAAGTACACACCTGACAAGTCCACACCTGGCAAGTACACACCTGACAAGTCCACACCTGGCCAACAGTACGTCAAACACCCACCTATCTCACACACCTGTCCCTGGCCAGTACCTTGTACCTTCAAATGATCTGAGAATTAGGGACAGGATTCGATCAGTATTTACCCACCCACCCACTTACGAAAGCTATACATCTTTCCTCGATGACAGCGACTATGTATACACTCATCAAACACACATTTAATAAGAGCTACAAACTTTCCAAGGTTATTATTGTTATAAACAACTTTGTAGTGAACAAATTCACAAGGCTCGTTGATGAGGGTTCGAGTCTAAGCACGGGATTTCATTTATCACGTTACTGGGATTTCTGTGTCTTCGTAGTGCCTCGGTGCTCACTATATAACGTAAACAAAGCCGCCATGATTGAGGAAAGATCTATAGGTTTCGTTAATGGTGGATTAATACTCTCCTCAGGTGATATACTCAGGTGATACACTTCCTCACTGGTATACTGTTCCTTGAGGTGTCTTTTTTTTTTTAGGAGTGAAGGTGTGAGATATTCCTACGTGTACCTTAGGCTTTTGGCGGGTCTAGGCTCTCTTGCTGTTGTAGGGCCGGGGAGGGTGTGGTTGTGTCATGGTCTTGGTGGAGTGAGGGACGGTGGTTGGGGGCACTCAGAGGCGCCGGTGTGTCCAGGGAGTGACGACAGGCAGTGAGGTGTGTGTGTGTGTGTACTCACCTATTTGTGCTTGCGGGGGTTGAGCTCTGGCTCTTTGGTCCCGCCTCTTTCCCGCCAGGAAACATTGAGAGAAACGAGTCTATGCCCTCTGGGAGATCACTTACATATATCAGAAGCAGTATATGTCCAAGGACTGACCCCTGCGGGACTCCACTTCTTACGTCTCGCCAATCTGAGACCTCACCCCTCACACTGACTCGTTGTCTCCTGTTGCTTAGGTACTCCTTTATCCAACGGAGTACCTTCCCTTTCACTCCAGCCTGCATCTCCAGCTTTTTCACTAGCCTCTTATGTGGTACTGTATCAAAGGCTTTCTGACAATCCAAAAATATGCAGGCTGCCCACCCTACTCTGTATATGTATATATATATATGTATATATATATATATATATATATATATATATATATATATATATATATATATATATATATATATATATATATATATGTACTCACAGGGAGACGCCATCCAAAAAGCTCGCCCTTCAGGATGAAATTAAATACGATTCATGTTTGGTAATTAAAGTAGAATAAGGAAGAGGTTAATAGACGGAGACGAAGGTGTAAAGATTCTCTGGGGAAGACAGGAGACAGGACCAGAGGGTAGGCACATGCATCATTTAATGGCTAAACAGGTGCTGATTAACGGGGGTCACGTGCTGATTGACGGGGGTCACGTGCTGATTGATGGGGGCCACGTGCTGATTGACGGGGCCACGTGCTGATTGACGGGGGTCACGTGCTGATTGACGGGGGTCACGTGCTGATTGACGGGGGCCACGTGCTGATTGACGGGGGTCACGTGCTGATTGACGGGGGCCACGTGCTGATTGACGGGGGTCACGTGCTGATTGACGGGGCCACGTGCTGATTGACGGGGCCACGTGCTGATTGACGGGGGCCACGTGCTGATTGCCGGGGGCCACGTGCTGATTGACGGGGGTCACGTGCTGATTGACGGGGGCCACGTCCTGATTGACGGAGCCACGTGCTGATAGACGGAGCCACGTGCTGATTGACGGAGCCGCGTGCTGATAGACGGAGCCACGTGCTGATTGACGGAGCCACGTGGTGATAGACGGAGCCACGTGCTGATTGACGGAGCCACGTGGTGATAGACGGGGGCCACGTGCTGATAGACGGAGCCACGTGCTGATTGACGGGGCCACGTGCTGATTGACGGAGCCACGTGCTGATTGACGGAGCCACGTGCTGATTGACGGAGCCACGTGCTGATAGACGGAGCCACGTGCTGATTGACGGAGCCACGTGCTGATTGACGGAGCCACGTGCTGATTGACGGAGCCACGTGCTGATTGACGGAGCCACGTGCTGATTGACGGGGCCACGTGCTGATTGACGGAGCCACGTGCTGATTGACGGAGCCACGTGCTGATAGACGGAGCCACGTGCTGATTGACGGAGCCACGTGCTGATTGACGGAGCCACGTGCTGATTGACGGGGCCACGTGCTGGCCCGTCTGGTAAACAGAGGGAGGATTGGTGGGGGTAGCTCCCAGGCCATTCACAGTCACGCCCCCACTCTCTGAGGGGTGCGTTAACCAATTATCCCCCCCACCCCCGTCAACTACTCTATCACATAACCCCCCCCCCCCCCTACAACCGCAGAGCATCATCCACAACGGCTTTTAACCGCATAAACAAGCCCCCCCCACCCCCCTTCAATCCTCGCAGTGATGTACCCTTAAACCACATCAGAGTATAGTTCCCATCACCACAGCGACCCATCATTCACCGCCTCATTGATGGGAGTCAGTATAGCAACCCTCCCCCCACCCCCCATCAATGCAGCGAAGCAGTTCTCCTGCATCAATTTTGTTTGTTTGTTTGTTTTGTTTACCTGCTGTCTTGATCAGGCTATGGTTGGGGGAGTTGAAATTGTTTGCTGTCCACCGTCTTTTGTCTCCTGCGTTACTGTCTACTCTTTCATTCCTTTTCTTTCTACCGCTTTCACTGTCAGTTCTACTACCATGTCATTATTTTTTTAAATTTTAGTTATTTTCTCGATTTTTTAATTTGAATCACAAAACTTGACGTATTTTGTCGAGATTCTATTTAGAAAATTTTGTTTTAGAATTTGATTGTCTTTATCTTAAATATCTGATCTTGTTTAGTGCTTATTATTTCCAGAAGAGAGAGAGAGAGAGAGAGAGAGAGAGAGAGAGAGAGAGAGAGAGAGAGAGAGAGAGAGAGAGAGAGAGAGAGAGAGAGAGATCTTTACATTCCATAGAACAGCTATTAAAATAAGCGTCGTACTCCAGACAGACTGTCACAGACAACCACAGACAGCCACAGACAAACACAACCAGTCACAGACAGCCACAGACAGTCACAGACAGTCACAGACAGCCACAGACAGCCACAGACAGCCACAGACAGTCACAGACAGTCACAGACAGCCACAGACAGTCACAGACAGCCACAGACAGCCACATACAGTCACAGACCGCCACAGACAGCCATAGACAGTCACAGACAGTCACAGACAGTCACAGACAGCCACAGACAGTCACAGTCACAGACAGTCACAGACAGCCACAGACAGCCACAGACAGCCACAGACTGTCACAGACAGTCACAGACAGTCACAGACAGTCACAGACAGCCACAGACAGCCACAGACAGTCACAGACAGTCACAGACAGTCACAGACAGCCACAGACAGCCACAGACAGCCACAGACTGTCACAGACAGTCACAGACAGCCACAGACAGCCACAGACAGTCACAGACAGTCACAGACAGCCACAGACAGCCACAGACAGTCACAGACAGCCATAGACTGTCACAGACAGCCACAGACAGTCACAGACAGCCATAGACTGTCACAGAAAGCCACAGACAGTCACAGACAGTCACAGACAGTCACAGACAGCCACAGACAGCCACAAACAGTCACAGACAGCCACAGACAGTCACAGACAGTCACAGACAGCCACAGACAGCCACAGACAGTCACAGACAGTCACAGACAGCCACAGACAGTCACAGACAGTCACAGACAGCCACAGACAGTCACAGACAGCCATAGACTGTCACAGACAGCCACAGACAGTCACAGACAGGCATAGACTGTCACAGACAGCCACAGACAGTCACAGACAGCCACAGACAGCCACAGACAGCCACAGACAGTCACAGACAGTCACAGACAGTCACAGACAGCCACAGACAGCCACAGACAGTCACAGACAGTCACAGACAGTCACAGACAGTCACAGACAGCCACAGACAGTCACAGACAGTCACAGACACAAGATAAAAGCCTACATGACCACCCAAAACGACCCTCCCCGACCAACAACGATAGATATAGCGAATATAAACGACACAGCTCCAACCAGCCCATTATGAGGCGATGTTGTCACCAATTTGACCGACACAAATGGGCTGAGTCTCCCGCCCTGAAGCCCTCGTTCTGTGTACCAAACAGGCCGTCAAATACCGCTGCGAGCCCCGTTTAAATAGGGTGAAATACGCGGAAGCCAAGAGGTAAATAGACAGGCGCTTAGACTCTTAGAACGATGTTGACGCTTCTGTGATATACTACAAGATGCAATTAATTAACCCCCAAGTGCTTCAGACTTCAAACAAGCGAGAATTAATGTCAGTTTTCTCTCTCTCTCTCTCTCTCTCTCTCTCTCTCTCTCTCTCTCTCTCTCTCTCTCTCTCTCTCTCTCTCTCTCTCTCTGCCTCTCCCGCAATCTCATCAACAACTTTCACTACCTACATCAACCGTCAAGCAAATAGGACTGTAACTATTTCCTCTGCTGTTGCTACTACAATCACTACAGCAACAACAATTACTACTACTACTAGTACTACTCTGTTCTGAATGTGGTTACAGGATTGTGTTCTTAAACTGGTTAAAGGATTGTGTTCTGAATGTGGAAACTGAAGATTGAATCAGCTTGAAGGTGGAGGTTTAATGCTAGGATGGATGACAGATCAGTCTGGTTCCTCTTTCCTGTTGTATTTGTGTAGGCAGGATGTCATCCCTGCCACTGTCTGTCTGTCTGTCTGTCTCCTCTTGGTCTCCTGGGATACAGTCCACAAGACGGTAAGGAGACGGTCGGGGCATCCTCGTAAACTGGCCTCGAAATGTGGGACGATCTCTCCTTCCCCAATCCATCCATATCTCTCTCTCTTTCTCTATTTTTCTTTATGTAACCCTCTTAACATCTTCCTTGTCTCTCAATTTCCCATTCTTTTCTTTCACTCTTTCTGATTTCCCTTTACTTTTATCCCCTTTCCTTCCCCACCTCTCTCCCCCCCCCCCCCACCCAGACCCCACCTCTGAC